TTCAGATGTCATTATTTGGTGCTAGTTAAAAGAATTTGATGATTATGCGTCGCTCAGAAAGCAATAATACGGAAAAACATCTTCTTTAAGACGTTAATTCATCCCCAAAGAAGAGACATTTGACAGGGCCCACAAAGAAGTAAGTTTCTTAGTTAAAAACCCATTGAACAATCCCTCTTATAGCTTAGGCCGAAATGTAGAAACGGGAGATATTACGAGCTATCCTATAACTAAAGGACAGGTGTTAAGTAGGTGGGGCTTTCCGCAATGCTGCACCCAGTTTCGACAGCGTGTGGATAACCCTCAAAATGAAAATACGACTAAAATCTAAGACACCTGCCCTTCATGGGATTGACCTCATCGAAATTAATATCGGCACGGTCATCGCCCGGGCTAAGAACGAATGCGTCGCTTGTTGGGATAGTGAGGCCAGATGCGAAAAGACGGCGATCAAAACCTGCTCATCGCCCTCTGGCAGCCGGAGGTGTAGCAGCACAATAACGCTCACCAAGACCGAAGGAACGACGACGAAGATACCAGTCAGAAACGGAGTCGCTAGCCGTTCTGAACGGACGATACAGACAGCACAGTGCCATTATAGCACGTCAGAAAAGGCTCCACGGCAACGACAACGCCAGTGCGAGCTTACAATCAGAAATTGGAATATATTCTCACTCAGAGGGAAAGAGCAAGAGTTAACTAATGACGCAGTAAGGCATCAAACTCGACATAATTGTACTCTAGTCAACGAAGCGCCAAGGATGCGCAATCCTTACCTCTGCGGGTGGAAGATACTCAACTCACGTATCAATATCACGATGCGCGCTCAGGCCGATGTTGGTGCTCTGGTAGAACCCAACCTAGTAGATAAAATCATTGCTTGGAAGCTTATCAGCGGATTAGTGGTAATCCTCGAACTGAAGCTACAACAGGCTAAAGCGCTGACTTTGGTATAGGTGTACGCGTCCAATTTGGAGGGAAAATATGATACCCTACTTGTGGAATCGCAGTGTGCTACGTCCGAACTGCAGAATAGAGAGACCCTCATATTGATGGGCGATTTTAATGCGCATGTCAGAGTACATGCTGAAAAGTGGAACGGCGTGATTGAGAAAAACGGCCCTAGCGACCTCAACAATAACGGCATGAAGTTGTTGCGGTTTTGTGCAAACAACGGATTGCCATTACGAACACCTTATTCGAGCATCGAAAAGTGCATCAGTACACCTGGTATCGGGAAGTTTGTGCACAGAAGTCGATGATCGATTTGATAATCGTATTCGTCTGACTCAATAAGCTCAGCAATGGATGCTCGCGTTAAGAGGCACATTGCTATGAACCGATCATCAGCCTGTTGTTGCCAAGCTGCGCGGTAAGAAATGAAGTACTATGAGACGATCTTGCGGCAGAAGCAACCAGAGAATCAAATGGAAAACATTATCTTCGCGCTTACAAAAAAGATTTAAGACGGTATGAACAGATCCCAGTGATGACAAGTGATGTTGAAACCGAGTGGCAGCTGTTTAAGAGAGGCCTACTCGAGGCTGCAGCCGAATGATGAGGATATAAACGGGTTGGCCTGCCGCCTGGAAGATCTTCATGGTGAACACGTGAGGTACAACTGGCAGTTAAAGAGAAGAAGGTTGCATTCAAGAAATCGATTGGAGGCAAAGAATCACTCACTCTCAGCTGGTATGACGAAGCACGCAACGTGACAGCAAAATCAGTGATGAAACCAAAACCTGATTCCTGGGAGAAGTTCGATGAGGTTTTGGAGGCGAATTTCCACACGCCAAAGGAAACATTCTGGCAAACCATCCGTCGGCTCCGAGATGGGAAGAAGAACAGTCTCGGAGTCTTGTAGGATAAGTCTGGACATTCTCTTACCGAGGACAAGGACATTATTCGGCGATGGAGAGAGAATTCGTTGACACCGAGCAACCGTACGAGGACTCGCTCGTAGAACAGCAGAAAACGGATATTACTATTTGTGTAGATGAAATTACACAACGTATGAAAAGTCTGAAAAGTCGAAAGGCCGCTAGGATTGATGAAATCCTCCCTGAAATACTCAAAGCATTACGCGAACAAGGCAGTTGCTGGCCTACTCGTGCCTGTAAAAGTGCAGTGGCTATGAGGAAGAGACGACCGGACTTTGGGGACAGTTATACCCCTGTTTGAAAATGGGACAACAGGAAGTGATCCAATTATGGGGTATTACCATACTGAACATTCCAGGAAACGTCTACGCAAAGGTGCTAGAAACGAGGAGCCATAGAATAACTGACTTCAAGATACAAGAAGGGCGTGTTACTTCTGACCCGGTCGAAGCACCTACGATTATATACTTGTCCTACGCCAGATTGATGAAATCGTCAGAATGTGCTTTGTTGACCAAGAGAAAGCCAATGACTGGATCCAATGTAACAGTCTGTAGGGATGCATGCGAACATATGGGGTCGATGGCCAGTTGCTACGGATTATCCAATCACTGCATTCTGATAAGAGGAGCTGATTCAGACTACATGGCGTTAAGTAGAAGCTTTTCAGCATTGACACTCGTCTCCGCCTAGGCAGGAGCAGACAAGGCAATAAGTGTTTCAATGGAGGAGATGTGAAGACGAGAAGGTTGCTGTTTGCACATGACCGTGTTTATTGGCGTCTTGTGAAACTAATGTACAGTGACATCTAGAAAGGGTCGCAGCCAAGTGCGACGCGGCCGGCACGCGTGTGAACGCATCTAAAACGAAAAGCGTAGTGCCTTCTCGTTCTCTTGCCCGTCGCCCTCTTCAGCACGTAGAAGCAGTCAGACAAGTGAAGTTCAAGTTCCTCGGAGTTG